TCCTTCGCCATCCGCATTTTCCTCATCAGAGCAGTCATCCGGGAATAACAAGGGCGAAAAGCGAAGAAAAGAAGCTGCGTGTTGTTTTCTTTATGCTACTACGAGAAGTCATGTCGCGCTATTTTCCCACGATCATCTGTCGTTTGGCGATAATATCCGCGCTCCTGCTGACCAGAGAAACGAACAGTATGTACAAAGTTTTTGTTTGTTTTATTTATGCTTGGATGGGCTTAGGCTGAAATGAAATGAACTGGCAGGTGTTACAATTAATGCTGTCCAAATCTGACTAACTGACTAGAGTTCTCTTACTGAACAAGCAAAAAGAACTTAAACACCGAACATGAAGTAAGTGAAGTACAACCGAAACAGGAATAACACTTTTTGAATAAAGTGAAATGTTGCAGATATCTGCACATTTTGCATCACATTTGTTTCTGGGAATGTTGATTAAATAGTGATTACAATGCTATTGCTATTGCTTTTGCCATGCCTATATCACGTTTTCATTGTCTCATTAAAACAAATACTTGTACCAGTTTGAATAGAGAGAGCCAGTTTGATGTTCGGAAAACTTGAGTTTGGCTCAGGTACAGACACAGCAGTTCCAGTTTCTCATGTGGCCCTTTGGGAAAATTAGTTACCCACCATTGCTGTAATACACATAGTTACTTTGTAACCTGCAGGGACACCAACTAGCTAAGCACAATGTTTGTGCGTTTTGTCTGGTTAAATTTTTACTTAAATGACAATTGACAGTCTGTAGTCATTTTGTGGAAACTTGTTTTTATTAGTTCAGGAAAAACTTTCTAAAATCTTTTAGTAGTTTTAGCTGCAAACCCTCCTCTCATTAAAAGATTGTGGCTTCTGCTACTTTAATTCATGTGACCACATATATACAAACCCTCCTGACTGGACTTGGTGAGAAAGCTGGTTAACTTTCCCATGTGTAGCATTCCCTCTCCCAAGTCTTACAGATAAGAAATAAACCGTGAATCCTCCCTTAGTTGTGCTGCAATAACCATAGGCTGCTGGGGGATTCCCATGATGCATTGAGTATTTCTTCTTCACTCACCTTTCTCACTCACTATGTGTTAATACACCTCTCTGCACTGAATCATACTTGTTATTAATCTCTGGCTCTCTTCCACAGCATGTCTTCTGTCCTGTCTTCCTTCCCTCAATCAACCAGTCGCAGCAGATGGCCGCTCCTCCCTGAGCCTGGTTCTGCTAGAGCAGTGGTTCTTAACCTGGGTTCGATCGAACCCTAGGGGTTCGGTGAGTCGGTCTCAGGGGTTCGGCAGAGCCTCCGCCGTGCATGTATGCACGCACGGCCCATTTTGTGCACCAGTAAAAAACATATGCATGTCTTGAATTTGAAAAAAATCTTATTTTATTTTTCACTAAAGGGGTTCAGCGATTGCGCATATGAAACTGGTGGGGTTCGGTACCTCCAAAAAGGTTAAGAACCACTGTGCTAGAGGCTTCTTCCTGTTAAAAGGGAGTTTTTCCTTCCCACTTTCACCAAAGTGCTTTCTCATAGAGGCTCATGTGATTGTTGGGTTTTTCTCTGTGTTTATTATTGTGGGGTCTACATTACATAATAAAGCACCTTGAGGTCACTGTTGTTGTGATTTCTAAATAAAATTGTGTTGAATTGAAAGGAAACTGAAAAAATATGACTATTCAGTTCGGTTCCCTGATTAGATCTGCACAGTACTAATTCCTTATTCCTCACCCAGACCAGACGCCAAGCTGCTCTGATAGTCCTGGTTTTGAAAAATTGATCCTATTTGGAAATGTAGCTGTAATTGTGAAACTAGTGTTTTACCTTATGCAAATCTGCTTCTTTCTTGTTTCTATTTTTACGCTGAGGTCTGAGCCTTAATAGTGTTTCATGCTCTTTACAGGTCTCCAGGTGATTGGTGGAAGTGTGACAGTGGTTCAAGGAGGCACTGCTATCTTACCGTGCCAAATCATCCACACTGATGATGATTTAACGCAGATTACCTGGCAGAGGACAACCAGAGAAAAACCTCAAAATGACAACTTTATCACTGTCCAACCAAGGGAAGGACCACGGTTTGTCAATGGACATGATGATCGATTTAAATATATCGGGAATTTTAACAACAAAAATGCAACTCTCCAGTTATCCAGTGTTGCATTGAAGGATGAAGGCAGCTACACGTGCATCTTCACATTGTTTCCCAGTGGAAATCAGAAGACTGAGATACCTCTTATAGTGATTGGTATAGAAAAAACAAAAACATGTATTTAAGAGATGTGTTTGTATATGAGATGTAGACAGATTTACTTTTACTGTCACGCTTACATATTGAATTATTTGTTTTCTGTAACTCTCCTAGTGCCTCCTTTCACACACATCAAGGACAACCTTCCCACTTTGGGCACAGAAGAGGTTTTATTTGCTACCTGCACGGCTGCCGGATCGAAGCCTACTGCTGAGGTGAGGTGGCTCACTGGTGCTTTGGGAGACAAAGTGAGGACGACAACAAACTCCATCAAGTATGACAACGATACGACTACCACAGTCAGCTCTCTGTTTGGCGTACCTATGAGAGAGATTAATGGTCACCAGGTCCAGTGTGTCATCAGCGGTGACTCCCTGATTAAAGAAGAAACCCTGCCCTTCACCATACAGATCTACTGTGAGTATCAGCTGTTAATGTATTTTATTATTTGTCTTCTTATGTTATTTTGTCATTTAAGAATTTTAACAGTTTAATCAAATAATTAGAAAAGAACACAGACACAACCAGGATCAAAGTTTTATACAAAAACAGGCATAAATCCTCAAAACGTTCTCATGTTTCCATCTCTGTTCAGGAGAAGTCTTTTTTTCCCCCCTGTTTGAGATGCTCTCATGACTTTGCCTCTGTGTTAGGTCACTCAATATTAGGTAGAGAGAATTCCCGAAAGACCTGAAAGACTTAACGACAACCTTTAGACTGATATAAAGGACATTGTTACAACATTATTGCAAAAGACTAAATGATGTAACCATGTGAACCGAAACCAACAAATTCAGTAAAGTCATACCACAGTAGACATTTAAAATGAGATGAAACTATTGACTTTGAGTCCAGACACAAGTCTGTTTCTTAATTTACTGGCAGTAGTCCAATACTGGAATATTTGTGTGTAATGTGGTTTTATACATGTATTCTTAAAGTAAAATTAACTGAGGCTGTTTTGAAAATGAAGCATTGTGTGCTCTTTTTTAGTGATGTTATATAACTGTGGTGTTCTGTTTCTGGTGGAATTCCCCAAAAGAAACCTAATATGTTGTTTTTAGTCCAAGGTGATTGTAAGTGAGCTGGTGACACTTTTGAATGTGTGTGAGAGGATTACTCCTAGAAACTGAATGAAAACCAAGATTTATGGTTTTGCCTGACATAACAGGCGATTTAGCTGATGTCCAGCAAATTAGAGCAGTCAGTCATTCCTATGATGTTTTTTGATAGGGGAAGAAATTTGGATGAAACAATTGCTGTTGAGTCCAGACACCAGTGTTTCTTCACTGAATGGCAGTAGTACGATACACTATCTACAATCTTTGTGTGCAGTGTAGGCTTATATATGTATTCTTTGTATGTATTCTTCAGTATTTTTTAATAATGTATGTCACTTTTTGTCATTTCAGTTGCTCTCTCTGCTGACATTCCCCCTTCAGTACCAAGCATTTACAATTTGAGAATTTGAAACATTATTTTGACATCATTAGTATTTCATCAGTTCAGGTTTGACACATCTGTGTCTTCATTTTTTGCAGTCTCTCCCACAGAAGTGAACATTACAGTGATTTCAGAGGACTCATTTGAGTGTTTGACAGAAGCCAACCCAAGTGCAAACTTTATCTGGAGCAGGTAAAGTCATTTGAACAGTTTTTACATTTGAAATATTCATTTAAATGCTGAGAGAGAGAGAGAGACAAGTATATTAAGCTACAATTATACTAACTATACTAGATGTTATTAAAAGTTGTTTTAGTGGTGTTGGCAGTGAACTTTGGAAAATAAGCTACAAACTATGATATCAGTTGAGAACTCAGTGTAAACACTTTAAGTGGAAGGAAGGAATGAACGGGGTGGTTCTCAGGAGGATGTCACAGAAAATGCAACAATTTGCCATTTTGGATTTTACGCACGTTTTTCATATTTTCACTTCATATTTTAGTGAAATATGTACAGATATAACCTAATGGGTATTTACAGAAATTGTGCTCAAGGTCATATATTTTGCTTTAGGTGCACTTTTCCATGTTCACAAGAATCACTACTCCTCCTGGAGTATTAGTCAAACTAATGAAATTAGATTAATTGATCTTGGATATGACTGTCCTCCTTGCCTCCTCAGTGGATTTGAATTCTTGTGAGTTTCTGTAACAAAGACAGCCAGTGCAACCAGAACTTATTACTTTGGTTTTCCACTTTAACATCACATTAACCTATAGCGAGTGATGAATTATGAGCTTCCTTATCAATTCTCATTGGGTCCGCTTTGAGAATCACCACCAGCTCTAAGCAGCATATCAAAGATACATTCATGCAGATTAAATCAAATTGCATGCTGTGTGGTCAAATTTAAGTGCATTTTGGAGGTATTTCTCCTCTTTGTTGTGATCAGTGTTGGAGTCGTTACTCCAAAAAAATGCATTACATATTTTGCAGAGAACACTTTTCAAAAAAGTAATCCTGTAAGCTCCTTACTCCCAGGAGAAAGTAATTTGCAACAAAACTGGTTACATTACTTTTGCATTTTTTCTGACTATATCCTTTTTCTGTCCGTTGAGATTGTAATAACTAAAAATAGAAACATCCTAATAAAAAATCTAATAAAATATGACTATCAAGTGGGTCATTATAGCAAAAGCTGTAATGGTCCACTTGGGAAAAAATATTTTTCCATAAAATGACCTGAAACTCATTGCCTCTCTATAAAAATGTAATAATGTAAACCTATAGACTACATTGCACACACCAACACAAATCTCTATCCTAATGAGGACATATAATGATCTTTCTTTGTTCAATTTGGGGATAAACACAAAGCTGACAACGCAAGGAAAAGATGAAAATCGGCACAAAGCAATTGCCATGGGAATTTTACTGTAGGAGCTTGAACAGGTAGAAATGGATTGCTCATCAGTTTTTACCTGTTGAAGTTCAGGCTCTGGCTGCTGGTCTAGATTCATCATTCACTAAGATTTAACATCCCTATGAGGTCTTGGCTAGCTTGGCTTTGTTATGCTGTTTATGCAGGTGCTTGCACATTTTATTTATTAACTTATGAGTTTCATTACACAGCAACTTGGTATTTCTATTTCTTATTTATTTAATACATATTGAATGTGGTTGATAATGTCATTTTTGTATGTAAAAGTGGTGATTCTGCAAATGACATTTGACTCCTAGCACACATATGCACATTAGTCAAGTAAATCTCACTAGTCCTCTGATTGGGTGTTGGAATGTTTGAGGCATTTCCTTTGTGTATGTATAGGAATGCAGAGATGCTGTCCATATATGTGTTGAAGGTTGGATGGATTTAAATATCCTCATTTAATATATATACCAACTGTGAGTGAAACAGTATGTAAGAGTTCCTGTTGATTGTCTTTGCAATACTATTATATTATCCAGAAATGTACATTTGCCTTTTGCTGTTTTTAATTATTGTTTACAAATTGGTAAAAAGTTCTTACATTTAGGTAGATCATTATCAATTTGAGGTATGTGGCTTAACAAAATTTGAATCATCGTTAGTCAGCTCTAACTATATGCTTTAGCAAAAAGGTCAGTTTTAAGCCTAATCTTAAAAGCAGAGAGGGTGTCTGTCTCCTGAATCCAAACTGGCAGCTGGTTCCACAGAAGATGGGCCTAAAAGCTGGAGGCCATCAGCAGTGTATTTTCCACTGGCATCCTGTTGGTCAATGAATTGATCCAGTACAGTCATGAATCATGCCTTCTTTGGCTTAAAAACACAATAAAAATGATGGATATAAATCCCCTTTTTTGATTATTTCTTGTTTACGTTTTATCTAGAGAAAAAGTGTAAGGTTTTTTTGTTTTGTTTTGTTTTTATCCTTAACCAATGCCAAAGTCCAGTGATAGATTAGAGCAGATATGTTTGTATGGCTTTTTCCTTGCACAGTAGTCAAGGGACATTGTGACATTAGAGTACGTCCACTGCAATATAAGAAAATTTCAAACTTCTCTGAGTATGGACTGCTGGGTGGAGACCTGGACAGTGTTTGCCTTTGCAGTAGTGTTGTTGAGAACTGTGGAGGATTGCATGGGATGTTTCAGCTCACCAGACAAGATGATGAAAAAATGGTCTTGTTTGAACCAAGAGGTGATGTCACTGGATGACACTTTCCAAAATAAGTACTAACCAAATAAATCATCATCTTTTTAAGTGGTTCTGAGATCTAGAATTAATTGCTTGTTCTTTAAGGCAGGTTATTTTCATTATGCATGCAGTTTATACGAAAAGTTGGGACGTAGTAATATGAATTACTGATCCCTAAAATTAAGCAATGTTTGTTTGAATTATCAAATGAGTTGGAGTAAAGGGTGCAAAAGTATATTTACATTTTACAACTACCAAATAGAGCAGCATAAAACAGAAAAAGTAAAATAAACTCATATTTATAACAAGAGAATCTGTGTAAATGTGTTATTATAACTGATTCTGTAAACCTTTATTAAATATCTTCAGCATTTAAGCTCCATTCTTTCAAAATATATTGTGAAATTGTATACAGTGAAATTACAAACAAAATGCAAATTACAATATTCTTTTTACACGCAAAGCAGTTTTATTTGTACTGAAACTTCTCTGTCTGTACTTCGCTGCTGATCCATTAAAAGTGAGATTTTCTTGGTAAATGCAGTGTTTGTGTGTTTAAATATTAAGTTTTTTCTTTTTTGCAGTAAGTAGCTCTAAAACGACATTAATTGATTTTTTTCCACTGCTTAAGACAGCAAACTCTTCTTCTTCTTTCCACTGGTGTTAATCATGTGACATAACTGCGAGCTTGATGGACCCTGTGGTGAAACTTAATTGTTTTATTGTCTCGTATTAAAACTTCATACTGTTTGGCTGCATATTATTGAATACTTGGGTCAATGCTCTCAAATCATTAAGAAAATTGAAGACATTTGTCAATGTTTTATTTTCTTACGTTGAAGAATGATTCCCTGAATGTGAACACAGAGTTAGCAGGACTCTGCTTGTAGAAACAAGGAGTGTGGTGTGAAACATCACTAAAACTAAGATTGTCTTCACAAAAGCAGAAATTAACATGTAAAGTGTGGTTTACTCTTGTATTTAGGTTCAAATGAAATAACAAAAAATCCTGGTGTGAGCAAAAGATAATAATTCAAATTTATTCTGCTTCTGGCACAACATATTTTTTTACCCTCTCTGTGCATTTAATGTTCTTGCCCTTTCATGTTTTTCCAGATCTGGAGAGTCTTTGCTGCAGTCTGCTGTCAGAGTGGAGGGTGCAAAACTACAACTGCTGAGTCTAAACTCCGATCTAAATGGCCTCTATCAGTGTGAAGCATCTAACGCTTATGGAAGTAAACATGGTCGGCTCTATGTGCATGTAGCATCAGGTGAGGATTTAGCTCTGCAGTTTGTCTAAATCTTTCTGGATTTGTTTCTGAGTTTTAAATGGAAGGTTTTGTGGATGTGGTGTCATTGTGAAGTTATTCTGTTTTATTTTTCTGTGGACTTCTTTAAAAAGGAATAAAAAAAGAACTTCAGTATCTAGACATATATTAAAATGAATGACTGAATATTAAAGCAATGCCCAAATGAGATGTTTGAAATCCATTACTTCTCCTACCCCGTGAAAGGTTCTTCCAAGGTCATATCAAGTTCATCTTATTTGTTTTTGTATCCTAAAACGTTTCAGTACAAGGAAGTTTCGAATGTGAAATATAAAACTAAATGTTAAGGAAGTCAGTTATTTGTACCCATTTGGGTTATTTGTTTATTATAAACTGGTGTTGTGCTACCAGAATCATAATATCTCTGAGGGAATTAATACATTTCTATTCTATTCTAGTGAGAAAGAACAATAGATCACCCTAATCTTATTTTATTCTTCCTTCTTGTGTTTTTTTAGGAGCATGCTCTGCTGCTTGGGCCTTATTTCTTGTTTTGCTTTTCCTGAATGTCGTGGGGACGGCAGCATGGTGCTTTTATAAATCTGGACATTTTCAAAGGTGCTCAGAATAATAACTCTGCATACACCTAATATGTAGCATAATATGTAGGACTTCAGATATAAAAGTATATACACACATAATGAACAGCTTATTCTGGAAATTTTTGGGAAGTTAAAACAAAAAAGAATATTGCAGTTGTGCAGATTCTCAGGTTTAATTCAGTCAGTTGGTTGTTTTAGGGTTTGTCTTTTTTTACACAACTGTCAGTCAACCAATTAAATTTTAACAGTCACAAATATAATTGGTTAATTCCCTCAAAAACATCAAAAAGCAGTTTTGTAAATAAAATAGGTAAAAGGTATGGAGAAGATTGCAACTGTGACATTTGCAACCTAGAAGCTCCCAACATGTGATCAAAGGAGCTCCCAGTGTAAGTCAAACAAGCTGTATCAAAAGAAATGAGTCAAAGAGAGATCAGGAACATTGGGAGTGGTACATTCTTTGTTGGCTCAGTAACAATCAAAAGAAGTTCAGGCTTTATATAGAAAAGAAATTTATTAAAAAAAGACAGACTACTAGTTATGTAACAGCTTTCTTTCTATTAATGAAGCAGATGGAAATGCAACAAGCATTAAAATTATGGGAAGAAAATTAATGGAAAATGATTTTTTTTAAAAAAGTACTACAGCCTCTTTCATAAAGAAAAAAATAAATGAAGCAAACTACAGTAAAAGATCACAAAGAAGGAAACTCATTATTTGAGGATATATGAGAGTTCAGACTTTCACTTGTTGCCTGCAAGGGATTCAACAAAGTATTCAGACAGCATAGTCTGTTTCATGACTGTTTATCTGTTACATTGTTTTTAGATTTCAGCTGCAGATAATGCAGTATTTTATGTGCAAGCCTTGAATTAACCTCCTAGGACCTGGCTTCCACATATGTGGACATCACATTTTGGGTTGTCTAGACCAAAAAAACGTACATTTTACTTAAATTCTTAAATTAAATAAAGGGCCTGATATCAACTTACGAGTATGTTCACTATTCTATCAAAACTTAAAACAAATTCACATGTGGATCTCATTTTTTTCTCAGAAACAAAAATCATGTCAAAAACATTCTGGTAATTCTTTGTTTTTACATTCATCAGGTCCCAATCAGAACAAATAGTAAAGAGAAATACAAAATGCATGCCATGAAAGAGTTCAGGTCTTAGGAGGTTAAAACTAATAGTCTGTAGTTGTGTTGCTGTACTATAACATTCAGGCCCAACATTTTTAAAAATCATTTTAGGTTTTGTTGGCAGAATTTCTCAGCAAATGAAGCAGCAGATGGGAGAGCAGAGCAAGAACAGCAAGGAGAAGTCAGTAACAGCAAATTTGTTTCAGTGTGTTTACAACAATGTTGTTTCTCGTCTTGTCTGTTGGAACTTGTAGTTAATCATTCTGAATCATTTTTAACACCACAATAAATCAGCCAACAATTAAGCTGATCTTGAAACATTGTAACTTGTATCAAGTTGAATAGATGTTTGCAACATTATTAGAAGCTGAATACTTCCTATATATTCTGAATTATCTGCCTCAGCATCCTCTGACAGCTGTGGGCGCATGTAATGGACCACATCTGGACTGAAGGCTCCACCAGCGTGTTCCAGGGTCAGCTGGTAGATGAACAGATGAACAGGTCGAGGTGCTTTTATATTCCTGAATCAATTTTTTTAAAATTCATATATATGAATGTTTCTGTCTTGCTGTTACTATACCTTATATTTGCAGTAATTACAGTATTTAAAAGCAAAACATTGTTAATTGACTCCCACTCTGCGACAGCATTTTGGATGTGGCTTTAACTGCCTGTTCCTTTGTTTTCATGTGTAACAACTGTAATGGTACTTGTGATCTGTGCTTGTGTTTCTACCAAGAGTGTGAACTGCTTTCATCAGAAGCTGTATTAATGTAGTTACTATAAATTCATTTGTTTATTTTCCCCCACCTGAATATTAGTATGTCCCTTCATTAAGGGTAACAATGTTAATGTTACATTTTAAGTTTACAATCTAATGCAAGGACACAAGTTCTGACATGTCAACCATTCATATGTAACAACAGATGTATTACCAGTGAACCACAGTTGGCAATAGTTACACCCTTTTTACACACACTCTTTTCTACTCTG